GAAAGCTTATGCTCTAATAAATTTGTTAGTCTCTAAGGTGCCACAAGTCCTCCTATTCTTCTTTTTGCGGATACAGACTAACACGGCTGCTACTCTGAAACCTTTCTGAAAAAGTGTTACTGTGAAATGCCTAATAAAAAGTTACTGACGTGATCAGGGAAGAGGAAAAATAAGCAGAATGTTTGGCTGCCTATTTAATAAAATATGAGAACCCAATTAAACTAGCTGGGTATAAGCAATAAAAAAAATGAAGCTGACAGTTAAGCAAGGTGTGCATTTAAATCCATTAAGAGAATGAAGCTATTCTTTACAGTCACTGAAACCAGTGACAGAAACACCTGTCTGAGGTAAGCCAGTACTCCGCAATACTTCACAGTGATCTTATGAGAAAAGCTGCTGTCTTAATTGATTATTAACTAGTAAATTCCTGCACAAAGTGTTCTAATGCAAAACTCAACTTTCTCTCCCCACCCTCCAGATTCAGTAATGAAGATGCAAATTGTTGTTTAATATTCAACTGCTGCTTCCTGTGAAGGTATATCTCACAAGAATTTACTTACCTTTAAATGCAACACCTTATTAACTAGTGTAGATGTATGGTATTGTGAATGGAATTTCTGGCCAAGGATGAAAACCATGATCTGATTGCATACCTGTTTACAATGATATGCACAAGTATGATGGGTTAAAGGATTTACCTGAGGCCAGACTGACATCCATAAGATATTTAAGTATTTTTGTTTTTAAATTAACCCTTTTATTATTAGTATTTGCACTTCTGATAGTGAAAGCATAACAGATTTATGTTGTTTTATATTGTTTTAAAATATTTTTCTGTTAGGATACCTAGTTGTAAACTGTTATTTGCTTGCAAGACTAGCAAATGGAACTTACGGATCTGAAAAATAAATTGCTATAACAGCTGGTATAAAGATTATACAGGATTAAGTAGAGCACATTTATTTTCAGCTATGTTTTTGCTATGAACTAGAAAAGTGCAGACAAACCTTGACTACCCTGTAGGCCTAAAGACAACTTTGTTAGTTAGTGTTTATACCAACCCCACTCTTGGTATAGTGTATTGACATAACTCACTTTAAAAACAACTGTGTAAATAAAGCACTGCAATTGATTTGCTTTTATATGTGTTGGCTACATTTCAAAATTGCACACAAAATATTACCCAATTATGGCCTACATGTGCCTTGATATCATAAGGATATGGAATTGGAGCGCCTGAAAAACCAAAATTGTATTTAAAAATGCACATTCAGTTTCTTTCTTTCAACACACTCTTATTGTAATTGTCATTCTCTAGCTTCTGTGAATAACAAACAAGATGATGCTAAAGAGAGAAAACTCTGACAGTGAAAGGCATTTTTAAGTCAGGGAACTGATTGCTACATGAAAGTATTTACACTCCAGTTGCATCATTGTTTTAAAAGTGTTTTTATGTACAGGCTTTTTGAGCTCCTCAGGGGAGGGATTTCTAAAAAGTCCCACAGTAACTAGAAAATGCAACAAGAAGTTCGAGGAGGGAAGGTATTGTGCTGAGGAGGAGAGGGAAGAGTGAAAAAATGACCGCAAAGATTTGCAGCATCTCAAGTGCAACAGGAATGGTCATTACTTGATGGTTTTCTGCTATGGCTTGAATTTGGTTATTTTTAAAAGGACACTATCAGCTTTAAAGCTAGTCAATGTAAAAAAAAAAAAAGTTAAGGCACAGTTACTACAAATATTCCTGAGTCCCCCTGCGAAGGAAACATGTTGTTAAAATGAGGCGTGTGTTCTTCAGAATTAAGGCTGAGAGTTTGTCACAGAGGTCACGGATTCTGTGACTTTCCATGACCTCCGTGACCTCTGCAGCCTGACAATGTGCTTGGCCTGGGGGCAGCTCAGGCAGCCCCTGCACCAGGCACTCTGGCCGCTGCTGGGACAGTCTCAGGGCCAGATTAACCACTAGGCTAATAAGGCGATAGCCTTGGGCCCTCCTATTTTTTAGGCTCTACTGGTCAGGCAGGGGGCACGGTCAGGGCTGGGGGGAGCGAACTTGTTCACACAGCCCTGCTGGAGTGCTCCTGTCAGCAGGAAAGGCAAAACAGCCACCTGTGGGCTTGGAAGGAGCTCAGCCGGCAGCCTGTTGCTTCTGCTCCCTCCCATCTGTCTCCCCCCCACACTGCAGGAACACACTGCCAGGTATCCGGTTACCACTGGTGACCAGACACTAAAAATCCGGTTACCACGGGAACTTGTGCCAGCCGTGGGTGTAGTTTGAGCAAGCTTTCTGTGTCCCCCCAACCCTCAATTTCTCCGGAGCTCTGCTTTAGCTGTCAGGGAGGGAAGAGGCTCCCTCTGTCCCTCTCCTCGGTTGAGGCTGGCAGTCAGCTCCAGGACACTGCCTCCTGGGTCCTAGTGTCCATCTTCATCATCTTCTATGGGTGCCGGGTCCCGTTTCTGAACAACTGGTGAGTGCCGGGGGGAACGGGGCAGGGCAGGTGGTGAGGGAGAGGCACTACCAGAGTGGTAGAGTGGAAAGCTTGCACAGAACCTGCACACACTCTATCCAGCTCCAGCCAGAACTATTGCCCCTCCAGTGTATAAGGACTGAATTCCCACACATTTGTAGGAAAAACAACAAAACATCCCATTCTGATACCAGTACTTTAACTTTTACAGTACCTACAATCGAGAGGCTTCAGATTAATGATGCACTGTGTTCAATACTGTATTGAACTGTACTAAAAATCAAAGAAATCCAATTTTTTTCTTTGATGTATTTTTTCTGCACTGGGATGCCCAGGCAACCAAGTTCTTTCCTTATGCTCAGCCTCGTTCCACAGGCCAACACATCTTTGTACTTTTAAGGGGTTGCAACACACAGAGGAAGCTTGACACACAATGTTGTAGGTTTCTCCCTCCCATCTCCCTCAAGGATTTTAAATCCACTTCTTAGCAGGCTATGATAGAAAGAGTGGCTGAATAGGCTAAAGGTAGGTTCTGTCCATTTGCTGGTTCTCTAGCAGTTCAAGCCATCATAAAAGTACCTCACATTTGATTTCTTTTGAGTTTGATTCCAAAAACTTAAAGCTAAATAAACCTAAAATTAGTCCTCATTTTTCTGCCCAATCTCAAACTAACTTCTTTCCCAAGTGGAAAATGCTGGATAAGCCTGGAATGTGATTCGAGAAGGGAATGAGAACACAGGCCAATTCCTGCTCACGGTTACATCTGGGTAGCCTTATTGACTTCAGGGAGAACAGATTTTTGCACAAGAATAAATTTTGGTCCCTTATGCTTTTTCACATCTGGAATAAGCAGAATCTCATTCACTTTCCTCCCCTAAACTTTGAGCACCTTAAGGGAAAAAAATAAACAAGATCTGCTTGATTTACACATGCAAATGAAACAGGAAGCTCTCCTTTCATTCTACACCAGCCTTAAACAAACACCAGACCTGATGTAACAAGCAAGGGTGTCACTACAGCAGCCTTGGTTGTACTATTCTTTTGAAAGATCCTTAATGGTTCTTTTAAGATGCAGATTTTCATTGAAGTCTTTTTGTTCAGGGGAGCAGAAGAGCATTGACCTGCTAAACCTAGGGTTGTGAGTTCAATCCTTGAGGGGGCCATTTAGGGATCTGGGGCAAAAATCTGTCTGGGGATTGGTCCTGCTCTGAGCAGGGGGTTGGACTAGATGAGCTCCTGAGGTCCCTTCCAAACCTAATATTCTAATGCAAAAGGGGATAGCTCTGTTTTGTCAACTCCTAGTCACTCAAAAGATTAAAGGCTTTAGATTAAATTTGTTTAATGTTTGTACAGTGATTTTAAAGAGATAACATAGTACAGAAGTACTAAATATTATGACTGGGCAACCATCTAAAGTTCTGTGTCACTTCTAGCTGTTACTCTTTTCTTAAAAAAAGTGTAAAACAAACAAATGCAAACTGTAGGGGGCTGGTGCACACAGAACTCGTGCTTAAAAAAAAACTCATGTTAGAGCTGCTGATCACACATTCTAGAATAGATAATACTTAGTCCTGCCATGAGTGCAGGGGGCCGGACTAGATGACCTCTCGAGGTCCCTTCTAGTCCTGTGATTTTATTCTATGATTCTATAAAAAAAATCAGGCACTTTCAAGAGAGGACAAGCAATAATTTTAGAGGTTGTTAATCTTGGCATAGTCTGTTTTACCAGTGTAATGAGCACAATTCTCTTATAGGACACTATCCAGCTGTGTTACAATATGGCAATGTATCCTCGATCTGTTTAAAGATTAAAAAACACTAGTTCGAGGCACTGGGACGGTAGTTGTTTTTAGATGCTATTTTGGTTTCAATCCATTGGATAGCAGCACGAAAGGGGGTGTTTGTAAAGTAAAAAAATACTACACTGGTAATCTGATTGCAATAGCTTGCATAAAAGAAGCCTACATAAAAAGACAGCAGCAGCTATGTGCTTTCCATTGCTTCCTGTAAAATGCTGTGTTGACTCCTAAAGCAAAGCTTTTTCCATGAGATGGCCATATTAACTAGCATATTGAGACCAAGTTTAATCTGGGAAAATGTTATATATTACATGTGCTTGCATGGTCTTTTGGAAAAAAATATTTAGAACTACAGAGCTTGGGCCGGCAAATGTATTCAAAATGATTCATTTATAGATCATGGGTCAGGTGGTCAGATCCTCAGCTTGTGTGAACTGTCATAACTCTATGGACACTGGCAGAAGCTCTGTCCCCAGTTCATACAGTTCTTCAGGTATTTGAAAGGCCAAAATGAGCCACTCTCCTTACTACTTTATCGCAAAGGGGTAAAAAGCATGAAGAATAGTTTATAATTAAGTGCAAACTAAAGCCATCACATTTTTCATCTTAATTTTAGGTCTGAACAAGTGACAGTGGCAATGGTAGGATTTCCTCAGAGATCTTTTCCACTCGGCTTAGCCAGAACACCTCTCCAGTTCTGGGGATAACACTTTATCCAGCTCTCTTGAATCCAAGAAATCAGCTCAACTCTGGACTCATCACTGAGGTTTCATTATTGGCATACAATCAAACTACACTTGAGTTGATCAGGCTCAAGTGTAGCAGGTGGGTACAGGGTATACCACACTTTCAATGTACATAATCATGAGTTTACTTATATACACTCTTTTACTTAATACTATTGGCTAATGTCACTTTATGATTGGTCTACTAATTTTTGTACCAATCTCTGTACAGATCATGAACTGTCCACAAGCTACAAAGTATGCTAGTAAGCAAAGCTGCAGCTGCAAGTTTATCACACATTAACTCTTCTTACTATTTCTTTATCTACTAAGTACATGTTATTTACAGGGCCACTTGTGAGTTTATGCTTTGTCCAGTGTTAACCTCTATTTTCTTACTTCTGTTTGATTGTTCATGCAACAAGCAGGAGATTAGATGGGGAGATAGATGCACCAGATAGCTTTCAGCTGGATGGCATCTGCATGCAGGGGTAGCCTTTGCATTCCTAAAGCAAATAGTACTCTGGGATTTAAATAGTGGCTAGACATATGTATATATCAGTAAGTCTAGCCTAGACAGCGTCTAAATTAAGAGGTTAACTAAAAAAAAATGAAGGAAGGAAAGGACCTCATGCTTTAGGGTAAAAGCTAATTTACTGTGGGAGTTGGGAAGGAATTTTCTTTCCTTTAAAATAAGTTTAAATATAATAATAAAGGTTTTTATACTGTCCATTCATGCATCAGGTGTCAGGCCACTGCTGGAGAAAGGATGCTAAACTAGATTGATACCGGTCTGTTTTAACATGGCAGTATCTGAAGTATAGGGTAATATTATAGCCACATGTAATGTACTATGGTTCCATAACAATATATAACACACTTTAGAAACAATAGCTGCATTCTTGCAAAATAGTTTCCCCTCACTTCCCCTGCCTCCATTCTATTCAGATGGAGTAGGCGGACACATAGAGCGATTACTTTCAATTCTGTTTGTTAGGTTTAAAGAATAAAACACTAGTATGACTGAAGCTCATAATGTGCCAGAGAGGCTATACGAGACTTGAATACTCATGACCTACAGGGAAAGCAGAGATTCTCAGAAAGCAAATTGCCACAGTAAAAAGTGAAACACTGAATACTAATAAACCTTGCTAATTAACAAGTCTTGTCAACTTCCTTCAAGTTAGTTGTTCTCACCCTCAAGATAACACTTCACCAAGATTTATTAGCAGTGTTCCTTTAAAACCATTGGAGGGCAGGCTTGAACTGGAAGCTATTTTTATTTTTTCAGTTACAGTAACTTAAAATACCAGTTAGTCCCTTGTATTCATAGCTGACAGTACTCTCACCAGTTCTCCACTACTCTAATTACTCTGGTGCTCGATAAACCCCACTTTACAACTGCTGCTTTGACAAAGGAGAAGTGTTGTGCTGCGTGTGTTTAAATAAAAATGTTAACGGGGGAGTGGGTGACTCACTGTATTAGCAGCCACATATTATTCACAAAAGAGAATCTACATGGTTTACTTAATTATATATCTCAAAGCATTTTACAAAGCAGGTCTATATCATTATCCCCATTTTACAGCTAGGGAAATGGGCACAGAGTGGTGATGTGACTTGCCGTTACCCAGAACGCAACTGGCAGAGCCAGGAGTACAGCCGAGATCATCCAATTCCCATATGCTCTATCCACTAAGATGCTCTGCGCTTCTTTCTCAAGTAATGAAAACTCCATGTCATGAACAAGTCTTTATAGGAAACCATACTTATAGCCTCTATTTTATGCTCACATTACCCAATAGTAATTTGACCAACATACACAGCCACATATTTAAACTTTGAAAACATCATTTTATTTTAAAAAAAGAGAAACTGCATTCAAGAAAGCTTTAGTGAAGAAATGATTGCCCATGCTGTCACTAACTTGTTTGAACAATTGGATGCTGAGCTAATTTTTTTGCATTAAAAAATAAAATCAAAGTAGGAAAGAAAGAAGTGCTGCAAAAAACCCTAAACCACCTAGTATAATAACTTCAATGAACCTTTCAAATAAGGGGGAAATATTTATATTGAATACAGGGGTCAGTATTCGGCCAGTCCAAAATAAAAAAATGCAGAATTTCTTAGTGATAAGTTGAACACAATGTGCTGGCTGTAAGTAAGTTATTGGTTTCTACAAACTAGCTAAGAAGACACATTCCTGTTGCTCCATCTTGTGTGATGGAAAAGATGTTTAAAAAAATAACTACAGTATCATTTGCTTAGGAAGGGCGGATTGTGATGTGCAAATTGTGAATTCTATTTTAATATTCTCTACATATGGATAACAAAGGGAAAAATAGTTGCCCTGTCATTTTCATCTGGAACCCTGAGAATAAGTTTTGTGTGTCCTTGCAAAGAGTTGATTGTAAAAACTAAGCAGATACAGAAATGAGACTGTCCATTAAAAAACACAATCTTTAAGTGTTTTGAAATAAGTCTTCCAGTTAGTATTTTGTTCTTTATTTCTCATGCTATAGCAGTGTGTTTGGGGTAAGAATAGAAACAGAGGAACATTTTGGCTAGTGTGTTGAGTTTAGTCAACATTTTTATGCAAGTAACCTATACTCCATGAATGATAGGATAATTTTAAAATAAAGGATTATGAGACTTTCAGATAGAGGGATTCTGTGGCTTCCTCTCTGAGTTTGTTTGTATCACAGTTTCTTTAATTTTATATTTTTTAGCATAAATAAAATACATTACATGCCCCGTTATCACAAACAGTAAGGAAATTATCACAAGCAACCCAAATTGTTGCGGTTGAGGAGCTAGAATAACCATAATGAAATGTACAAGGTCCATCAAGTAGTTCATAGAGCTCTGCACACCATTGACTATCCCACGCTCTGATTCTGGAATGTTCTCCTGAAGAAGCTGGGTCACAGTCAAGTCAAATGACCAAAGACCTGCAAGAGAACCGTGCTTTATTATAAAACCCAAGTGCTTATAAATTGTGCAAGAATTTGTCCTTTGGATTGTAGAATATTCTCTTAAGGGAATGGAAAGCCCCGTCCATGTAAAACATTTAAAACTACATTGAATATTGCAGTAGAAAATAGATTGTAAGTAGCTGTCCACTATCAGCAGTGAACGAACACAATACCCTAATGGGGGCTGGGAACCGATCTTTAAATTCAGTGATTTCAAATTAGGAGAGCTACAGCAGGCTACCTTCATATGGAAGTCCATTGAGCCACACTTCATATTGTGGCTATGTCCACCAGTATTCAGATGATAAACCAGTGACTCCTGTTAAATACCCCTACTTTAGTGATGGAAGAATTGTGAAAAAGCTAAGAGTGTAATGGCCTTAAAATAGCCATTGTAATATCACTAGACTAACTATATAATTCTGTTCTCTTGTATCCCATCTGAAGGACTCACTCACCCAAGAGAATTTTTTGTAAAATTATAATACAGTAGTACATGGAATTTCTCTAATGCACACACCTTACACTGTACCTACAAAAACTAGTTTCTCCTCCCTTCTTAGGAAAGGATTACTAGGAGGGTGCTTTTATAAGGCCTCACATTACTAAAGCTTATAATACATAATCTACCATTTTGTAAGAAATTAATTTCAATTGTTAAAATAAGAATGTGCATTTCATAATGCATTATTTCCTCATTTCCTTTTTTGCTAAAAATTTGTAATGGGGGTATTAGTTATTAGTGCAGATTAGCAAAGTTCTAGGATAGTCTGTTTTGATAGTAGATATCATTTTGAGTGATATAAAAAGAACTACATGGGGAAACTGCAAGTTAAAATATGGAAGGGCCATCTCAGCTCTGTCTTTGTTTAGTCAAACTCTTGACATCCTTCATGTAACTTTTCTATTACTTCTGTGTTCAAATTTAGTATAATTACCAGACAAAAACTATGTTAAAATGGAGTTAATGTTGTGAGTATATATCAATAATTTAGGGTAAACTACATTAAAGGGATGTTGTAATGATCTCAAATGATCTCCCAAGCACTGTAAACTTAGAAAATTCACAATGAAGATTAAACTTAGAAGAAATCCAAACTTGATAGAGTATAAAAATGTATAATTAGGACAACCAAAGCAACTTAACTCAGCCCTGTCAGACTCTTCAAACATTCCAAATACTTAAAACTCACTGAGTTCTTGTGCGCTTGATTTTTTTCTTTTGATTAATGGCAATTTTTCCTTGTAATTCATCATGAAGTATAGTTGTCATGACGAATTGCCCTCTTTCAAAATGGCCACCTTCTCCTAATGTTCTCAATGGGACTGAAGGCACAGCTGCGCATAGGGAAGATGATGGCTTCCTAGGCTGTAAGGAGGCAGATACACTCAATCCCATGCAGAACAAGAGTTCTACACCATTCCCCAAATGGTCACCAACTGAGGGCAACTGTAGCTTTGGTCTTACTGAGAACAATAGAAGATGTCAGCCATTTTGAAAGAGATTAGTTCTTCATGGAAGTCTCTGAACTAAAGTAAACTATTGTATCCTTCAGCTTCTCTTGAAGGAGAAATTTTCATTTATGCACAACAGGAAAAAATGACCGCTAGATCATTTTCTTTAATGAAAAGCGATCTGACGCTAAATTTCTTAAAGGCCCCTTTTTCAATTAATGTTAATTCCTAAACTAATTACCCAATTTATTTGTAACTTTACAGAAAATTGTGTACTCAAAGAGCAAGTGCTGTAATTTGGGGGAGGACATGCATATTTACCATACAGGGTTGGATCCTTGCTTTATGTTCAAACTCAACTCAACCTTAACTATAGAGTAATTACCAATCCCTCCATAATACATTTAGACTTTTATAAAATCAAAACAAAGTCAAAAAGACTTGTTACATGAAATAAGAATAATATGTAACGGATGTACCAAATTTATATTTAAAAATGCACTAAACTTTAAAACAAAAAACAAAACAAAAAAACATGAGTAGACTCACTGGAGAATTCCATTGCACCAATGGTATTTAGTTCAGGAATACAAGGTAGGCTTGTTTGGTTTTGTTTTTCTTCTCTCTCCTTTTAATTGCTGTGTGTAAAGTTAGTGCATCAACACTAACACAATAGGTTACAGCCAGGTATAGACTGAGAGCATGCATGTAGGAACCACAGTTCTTCATGATACAATCTCCATAGGCTTCAGAACACAGCTATACCTAAATGCTAACCTACAGTGCCTTTGCTATTCCAACATGGTCTGCTCTTGAACAGGCTGCCAGTTTATACCAATTATAGTTTTGTGGATGAAAACTAAATATGGCACTGAAATGAGACTACCTTTCTTCACTTATGAATTAATAAAGATTTGAACCTAGACCTCCAGAGGTGACAGGCTAGCATGCTGAGTGGTTGAGTCACCTAATTCCTCTCCCCCCACCCCATCTCTCTGCCTTGTAATTTGGTTTACTAAAATAGGATTTATAGGAGAAGTATAGTCTTTGTGATGCTACTTCTCCCCCATCTTTTCTATTTCTGCAGCATACTTAGGATTCCATGAAAATGCTAAATTTAAGTCAGCTAACAATGCTATAATAGTAGCATGAAATGTCATTGTCATGTAGATCTGTGTTGTTCCTCTGAGAGCCCTACCAACAATTACAGGGGGAAATCCTGAGAATGCAACATAATTATTTTAATAAAACACAGATATGCTAAAGGCAGTCAAACTGACTAGAAATATTTGCTAGATGTCTATTAATGAAGACTCAAATGCATAAATGACATGTACTATCTGCATAAAATAGTTGAAGAACATGCCGAATTGGCATGTGCATGAGAGAAACTAAAATTACATTTTTATTGACAAGCAGTTCACGTAATCCTGGGTACCAGATAGTGAAGGATTATTTAAAGGCATGTCAATATGGATGCAGTATGAATACACAAAATGTAGTTGTGACTGAATACACCCCTGTATTCACACTCCACACATTATTGTAATAACCTTTGTACAAAATATGCCTTGTGACATCATTCGAAAACGAATAACTCGCTGGTCAATAATATCATGATGAAATGTGTGTAGTAACATTATATGTAAAGTTATAAACATAAGTTGAAATCAGATCTGAAGTGTGTTTACCAGACTAGTCTGAATAAACCAGTTTCTCAAAGAGACAGGACAAGCTGATGCCTCTAGCCACGTGTCATCAAAATTGATGGGCCATCATCTGTCAAGAGGCTGTTCTTTGGCAAAGAAGGGTGGCAGTAACAGATCCATCTACATTTTAGCAAACAACAGCATGGAACCTCTTCACCACAACACTCCATGACTCCATCCCGCAGGAAAAGAGGACTGGACTATAAAGTGAGGGACAAAAACACCCCAAGTTCTCTCTCTCTCTCTGTCTCTCTCTCTCTCTCTTACCTAAGATGACAAAAGAAACAGCCTTTGAACTTTGGGAGCAGATCCTGGCCTGAGAAGCTGGTCAGCAATGTTATTGGAAACATGTGGTAAGGGACTTCACCTTGAGCCAAGTCTAGTTTGTTAAGTTTTAGTACTAGAAAGCGTTTTATATTTATTTATCTTGTAATCATTTCTGACTTGAATGCCTTATACTTATACTCGCTTAAAACCTATCTCCTTGTAGTTAAATAAATATGTTTTATTTCTTAATCAAAATTAATCCAGTGTTGTGTTAAACTGAGCTGTGTGGGTTG